ATTCTGTATCGTTACTGTGGCAATGCATCCAAGAAGGAAGTAAGACTAGAAGAGATACAAAACTGGAGAAAGGAAATCAAGGAGACAAAAGTGAATTGAGGATTTACTATAAAGAAGGCATAGTTAAAATCATTGGAACATATCTCAACTAGAAGGTTCACAGATTTAGAACACAAATGCATCTTGGTAATTTAGCCCAAGCTCATTCTAAAGATGAGGAAACAGACCCAGAAAGGTAAAATGATTTACCCAGGGTCATACTAATGCCACTAGGTAATGGTACATTTGAGGCTAGAATCCAGGTCCCCTGACTCTTGGTCCAGTGTTCTTTCTTGGTAACATGTGAAAGCTAGGAGAAGATTTGAGAGAATTTAGGGTCATGGAGAATAAAGAAAGGTTTCAAGTTAAAGGGAAATTGAGGATCAGAAGATAAACGTGTCAGTTGTAGTTGAAAAGTCAAGTAGCATAAGAGCAGACTGAGCCTTTGGATATAGTTAAATAGTATAATTGATGTTGGACCAAATAAGAGAATTTTGTTCTCATCAGTCAAGATTTAAGTGATGCTTTGTGGATGGCCACAGCTGTTTTCCCTAAATAGAAAGCCAAAGGTCAAATTTTAAAGTGTTCCAGTTTCCATTAAACTTATGGACCTATAGTAGATTAATCCAAACCTTTCATTAAACTACCTGACAGATCTAGAGAGTAATCTCAATAATCTTGGATGTGAATAGGAAAAGCAAGGTAAGAAAGCTGTTCAAGGTAGATGGAGCCAAGTTAATCAATATCCTTTCTCTTGTGATGGGAGACAGTATGATGGGTGCAGATAGTAAGATAAGGGGGGAAGAGATTAATTACTAATGAGAAAGACTAGTTAGCAGAGGACATACAGTTGAGACAGCATTTGGTTAGCAGGGAGCTACAACAACGGGCAGCTTAAAAAAAACGACTTTAATTATTGACACCATTATTTTAGCTCTTTTGGGAGTGGGGGGAAAGCTGCTTCCAAACTGAAGTTAAGGCAGGATGAAAAATTCAGAAGCAAGAAATAGAGAAGCAAAAAAAGAAAAAAAACAACAAAAAAAAAAACTAGGATTAAGGGTGACTGAGATGGCAATAGAAAATGACTGGGATAATGTTTCAACACTCGATAAAGAAAAGGCTGGAAAAAGGAACAGAAACAGAGTAGGCTATTGAAGACTAGTAGTTTTAATGAGAATAGCTGACTTTGAGGCTTGGAAAGCACATTACCTATACTAGCTCAATGGAGCCCCATAACAACTTTGTGAGGTAGGTATTCCGGGTACTACTATCACTTCCATCTACAGATGAGGAAACTGAGGCTCATAAACTTGTCCAAGGTCAAATAATTATTGTGTCAAAAGAGAGATTTGAACTGGGATCTTCCTGACTCCAAACCCAGTACTCTATCTACTATTTGATTGGGCCATGCTTCCATAACCATTATCAGCCTCAAAGAGTTGCTTGATTATTTAAGGGTGGCAAAATGGTACAATGAAAAGAAAATTGGCTGAGGGTTTGAATCTTACTCACCACTGAGTGACTAAGGTCACTTAACCGTTTTGCTCCTCAGTGTCCTCATCTAGAAAATGAAGGGGCTGGACTACGTGACCTCTAAAGTTACTTCCAGTTCTAAATCCATGATGCTACAATGAATAATGCTGTGGTTAGGTGTCGTACAAAGAGTACAGAGCTAGACCCATGTCCTGGAATGAATCTGTAACCTAAGACAGGTAAGTAATAGAATAGAAAAAAATTAAACCCATATATGGAGTGACAGGTGTTTAGCAAATGTTTATTAAGAACCTACTACTTTGCCTTGTAAGGCATTGTGCTAGGCATTGGAGATACAAAAATCTTCATCAAGTCCCTACTTTCAAGAAGCTTATGTTTTTGTTTTTTCCAAAAGTGGCAAAAGCTTGATTCCTCTATGACACATAAGAGAGATTTATTTCCAAATACACTGGAAGTTGAAACAAAGTTACTTACTGCCAGTGTGACTTTGAGCAAGTTATGGGCTTTAGTTTCCTTGTCTCTACAAGGAGAGGGCTCAACTAGAGTTCTGAGGTCCCTTCAAGTTCTAAAGGCCATGATCCTACGAAATCCTTTGAAATAAATGGGACAGTACTGGGAACATAATAGGGGGTTAAAAAAACCTTTTTGAATTAAATATATTCTTAGTTGTTTCACAGTAAAGCTTTCTTATTTTTTCTTATTATTAAAACAGATTTTTAAAGAACATTCTCCCCATCCCTCCTACTCTTTTCTCTCTACTCCTCACCTCCAACCCACCCCCAATTCCTGGGCATATTCATAAATAATTAAGAGAGAGAAAATACTATTTCCAGTAATAGGCATTTGATGTTTGGTTACACATGTATTTTTGTACCTAATGTTTTAGGTACATGAAAGATATTAATACATGACACAAAAAGAAGTTTAAAGGTTAAAAGGAGACCTCCTGGACAGAAGTGAAACTATTATCCACATTAGCAACATCAGTTCTCAGGATATTTTAAAAGTATAATGTCCAGCTTCTTCTGTAAAACTTGTTTTTTGTCTAAACAAATGTAAAATTCTGTTTGATGTTCATCCCCCCCCCCATTTTGGATGAATAAGCAATTTAAAAGTTCAATGGAAACAAAGCAGTGCTATAAAGACTCAATCATTCCACCACTGCAAAGAGAACTCAAGTAGAAAGCAACACACTGCCCCTTGTTGCTCAGCTCTGTTACAAATCATTGTTTAATTCTCCTTGAAAATTTAGAAAAGTTGGACAGGGCTACTGCAGGGGAAAGTTATGAGAAAGGTAGAAGGAGACTGTGTAGATGTGAAATTCTCAACCTCTAAACTGAATTCAGACCAGCTACTTAAGTCAACGAATACAGAATGAATTTAATACGGGTAGAATGAAAGGTAGAATATATACTCTTTGAAGGTAGGCAATACATGCTCCATAAATTGAATTGAGACAATTAAATGAAACATGACATATAGACTTGTTTATTGAACATGCCTTATAATGATATCACCGAAGAAATAAAGAGAAAATTCTAACTAATTAGAGTTAGGAGGATCCTGACAGGTTAAATTGGACGTAAAAAGCAAACAAACAACGATCTCAAGAGGCCTATGTATTTGGTGTATTAATTGATGGTGTTCTTAAGTAAAACGTTTGTCCTTTTTTTCTCTTTTCCCTTCAATACTATGAAAATCAAAAATACAGAAGATGCAGATTATGACACAGGGAACAAAAGTAACTCCTGTTGTAGGCTTTCAGAGCCCTTGTGAGAGAGACTAGGCTATACATCATTCTACACACAGGGGTCACAATTTGACTTGAAGTATGATTAAATCTATGCCATGATGATATGCTATATAAAGACATTTTACTGTGTTCATATTGAAAATGCCAGGTTATTTTTCAGTGGGATGAAATAACCAAGTTATAGTAAAAATTTATACTACACTATTTCAACCCACTGAAGACAGTGAATACAGAAATTCAAATTTTATGATCGTTTATTATAAAACAATCCTCAGTGAGATACGTCAGTGGAATTGCTGCAATGTGGCTAAAACCAGGAGAAAAAACAAAAGCAGGGATCTGCTTAATATCATAAGGCTAATAAAATGTGTGGTTTACTTAATCATCTGACAGTGAATGAACAGGATCAAAGTAAAGTTGGCACCGAGACAGCATCCACATGGCACATTCTTTGTTTCAGGGCTTCAGTCTATCAGCTTTTGGGGAGAAAATATAAACCCCATTTATAATACATTTATAATGGAAGAATATTATTAGTTTTAATTTCCCAAACTGTCAAGATTTTTTGTATGAAGCCATAATATTAAAAAAGATGTCCAGACTCAAAAAAAAAATGCTGTCCAACTCTGATCCCTTCATACTCTGTAATAAGTACTAGTTTTTAACAGAATAAAAGCTGTTGAATCCCAACAGCTTCAGCAAAAGATCCACGGAACTGTTTTGAAGAAGGCTAGGTGAAAATAAAGGAAAAAGAATATGTTGAGAGGCAACAGAAATGATGTAGGGTGCAGGTTAAGTCAAGTAAACTAGAAACCAATTCAGAAAGAAGACACTAATTTCTTTTTCCCTATAGAATTTTCTTCTTTAAAAGGGGAAGGGGGGGGCACCCACGGGTTGTACTGTCACAAATAAGGTCACCTAACAGCTCGCTGTATTTATAGGTATGGGCTTTAAAAAGCTAGAGCGAGGACACCTAAGCATTAAATGACGACATATACAAAAACGAACTGCACCGTATCTAGTCATAATTTGAGTTGTTCAGCCAGTAAAGGACAAAAGGACCTAGCAAAAGCACTTGGCTTAAGGTTGCTGGAGCCCTCACCACCACCACCCCTCCTCCCAGCTCCTGAAAATTGGCTAGTATTTATTTCCCTGGTGGGGAAGACAAGAGATCTTTTCCCACTGCTGGCATCATTCTCTCCCACAGTTCTGCCCTCTCCATCCCTGAATTCTCGGCCACCCCTCGGAGGAGGCACCATCGCCCATCAGCGGCAGAGTTGGCCAGCGAGGGGTTCAAGGTGATGAGCTCGCGTGCATCCCTGGACCAGCGGGCGTCTGCTCGGGGAGGGGGGAAGGGCCGGGTGGGGTGGTTGCCCCCGCCCTCGCCCCCACCCCCACCCCATCCCCTCTCTCTTTTTCACGCCCGCCGCGGCGGCGGTTCGAAGCCCGGCAGCAGCCCCCTTCCTCGCCCTGCCTTCTCAGCCATCTCCGGGAGGAAGGGAGGAGGGAGGAAGGAAGGCGGGGTGGGGGCTGGGGGGGACCCTGGGGGTGAAGTTGCAAGCTCAGCCCGGGCGGCTCGCCCAGCCTCCGCGGATGTCCGAGATCGAGATCATCACAATGCCCCCGAGGCATGAGAAGCACCCGAGTCGCGGAGGGGAAAGGGCGGGAGTTGGTCGGGAGCCGCACGCACTCGCTAGCTCGCTCGCTCACTCACCTTCCTCTTCTAACTCTAATTTCTCCAGCATGCCGGCTTCAGCGGTTCCTGGGGCTGCTGCTGCTGCAACTGCTGCTGCCGCCGCGGCCGCTGCTACAGCCGCCTGAGGAGGAGGAGGAGGGGAGAGAGGAGAAGGATCAGCATTCAGACCCAGGCTGGAGGAAGTCCCGGGTACCTGCCGCGGCCGCCCGGCGGGGACTCGAGGTGGGCTGGACGGCGGGGAGGGGGCGGTGGGGGAGGGCCGCGGCCGGGGCTCGGCCTGACAGGGCTCGATTTCTCCGGTCTCACCCGCCGGGGCCGGGTCAGGGAGGAGCTCCGGTGCTCGGGCCCTCCCCCGAACCCCGCCCCCGCCCCTGAGGGCGGAGCCGGGGAACCGGCGGCACCTCCCCGCCAGGCTCTCCGACTCGGTACTGCTGTTGCTGCCGCCGCTGCCGCCACCGCCCCGTCGCGGAAACGGGGTTCTAGGGACCCGCCCCCCGTCGGGACAACCCACCTCCCTCCTCCCCTCCCCTCCGCGAGCCTCCTCCGGCTGGCGCAGCCGGGTCTCCTCACCGCGGGGAATCCCCCCTCCCCCGGAGCCCTGAGGGTCGCTCCGCGCCGCCGCAGGTACCCGGGGCCACCAACGGAGACTTCACACCCGCTTCCTCCCCGGCCTCCCTCGCTCCGGGCTTCTGCCCTCTCCAGTTCCCCTCCCTCCGCTCCCCCCGCCCTCCCCCGGGTGGAACGGTCCGCTTTGCTGCAGTGGTCTCAGCCTCCCCCCCCCCCCCCCCCCTTTTGGCTCCTCCCCGGGGGGGGGGGGGGAAGGGGGGGGGGGGGGGGGGGGAAAGGGGGGGGGGGGGGGGGATTATGTTTGGGTGAGTGATTTTTTTGGAGGGGGCGGAGGTGGAGAGAAGGCGGAGGAAGGGCCGTGGCACGGGGCAGTGCTGACTTGGTCGGACCGCGTCGCCGCGCTGGCCTCTTCCATTTGGCCGGTCCTTCCGCAACCCCTCCTCCGCCAGGCAGGGGCTGGCGCTGTCGTAGGAGGGAGAGCGAGCGAGCGAACCAGAGCCCCTTTCTTACCACTACTCCCCCTTTCTTGCTTCTCGCCCGCGGGTGGTACGGTCCGGTAGGTTTAAGCTCCCTTGGTATCGGGCCAAACCATTTGCGGGGGGGGGGAGCAGGAGGTTACAGTGATGGAGTAGTAGGGAGGCCTTCGAAAGGGGAGGAGGGATAGTCTCTAAAAGGAGGGTTGGGAGGGTTACTGCTGTCAGAGCTGGGAGGGGGAAGACTTTTGCATTTTCTACCATTTCTTTGGAACGGACACCCCAAACTCTTTCCACTGCCCCTACCCACCCCAAATTTCCATCCCCATCAACCCTACATTTCCTCCCAGAACTGACCACGCTGAAAGATCTATGAACCGAGCTCCCCCAGCCCCCAGCCCCGCACCTCTTCCCACTCCCCTTTTTACTCAGCCTGTAGCCTTCCAATCCTCCACTCCCACCCCCAGCCAAGTCCCGAGGGGACCAAATCCATAGTGGCGAGGCCTCTTGGGACCTGGGAGTTTGAAAGTGGGCCCGAGCCTTAGTCTCGCTAACAAATCTAAATCTGGCCAGGCCACGCCTGTTACCCTGCATCTGCAGGATTTGAGGCCAAGTGGAGTTGGCAGGCATCGATGCTGCTGCATGAGTAGCTGGAAAAGCTGGGGTGGGCGAGGAAAAAGGGAAGCAAGCTACCCCAGTGGAAACCCCCGTGTGTGTGACCTGCCCATTTCTCGCCCATAGACAATATGTCTTGTCTTCTTTGCTGAATTCAGGGACCCTTCCCCTGATTCGAGGAGCTGTCACTGTTCCTGGCCTCTCTCCAGCCCTCAGAACCAGTTACATGTAATCACTGTGGGCATCCTTGCTGGGGAGGGGGAGAGAAGGGAAGAGTAATTGGGGGATTTAAATGAATCAGGTCTTACAGTTCCTTAAGACATTAAGAGCAACTTTTTTTTCTTGTCTATTTCTGAGTCAGTAAGGCAACTGGCTGTTAAGTGCCTACTATGTGCCAGATACTGTGTCTGCTCTGAAGGAGTTCACCAACCTAAGGGGCAGACCACACTCAAACAACTATATACAAACAAGATATACAAGATAATTGGAGTAGTCTCAGAGGGAAGGCTCCAAGGTTAAAGAAGATGGGATTTCAGATGAGACCTGAAAGAAGTCAGAGAAACGAAGAGGCTGGAGATGACACATAGAATGAAGTACAGACTGAGAAAATGTTTGGAGTCTGGAAAAGGAGTGGTGGAATTGTCTTGTTCAAGAAACAGCAAGGATGCCACTATCACTGCATCAGAGTTATGGAGTGAGGAGTAAGGTGTAAGGAGACAGGAAAGGTAGGAAGAAGCCAGTTTACCAAGGGCTTTAAAAGTCAAAGAGGATGTTATATTTGATCCTAGAGGTAAGGGAACCACTGGAGTTGAATGAATATGGGGCAGTTTCCTCTGCCCATAGTTTACACCCATTTCTTGGCTCCTTATGCCCTCCTTTCAGAAAAGGAGTAAGATGAAAAGAGTGATAAGTTGAAATTTTTATAGGATATCTTTGTAAAGTTTATATACACAAAAGAAAAGATGCATCTGAAATCTGTTTTTCTGCTCATTGTAAAACTTCCTCTAGAGCAGTAGTTTTTGAAGTGTAGATACAGAAATGACTGAAGGCAGCATCTTACATGCTAAAGGATAGGTTTGTTGTTGTAATACAAGTGAAACATACCCCTGGATATGTCAGAGAATTCCCCCCAAGAGAACCAGAGAGAACCAATGTGATGGGGAGATACCAAGCTTTATAGGGGGAAACAACAGAACTTATCCAGTTTATAGTGGATTCCAAGATAAGCCCTCTGCTGTGATGGAAGGGATGGAGGCGCCTTGTTCAAATAGCAATAGGCTGGATCTGGGAACAGAAGGGACCTCTGAGTTCATGCAGTCCAACCCCTTCTTTTCCAAAGGAAACTGAGGTTCAGAGAGGTTGTGATTTGCCCAGGGTCATACAGGTAATAAGGAGCAGAGCTCAGGTACTGTGACTCCAAATTCAGTGTGTCTCTCCAATAGCTTCTACAGCAAAAGTCTGGTTTTATTGGATTGTGGAGAAATGGTGAGGGTAGAGTCGAATAAGCCTGAGACTAAAGCATGGGTGGAAATGACTAAAAATGATAATGAAGTTATTACATCAGGGAACTCTAAGGCATTATTAGCCATGGAAGCTACACATGTGATGATTCTTTGGCTGTTAAAGGAGCTGGAGAATCAATTGTATTCTAACATAGCAAAATGCAGTATTATAAAATATAGAAAGGGGTTTAAAAGTTAAGAGGCAGCAAATTTAGTCAAAAAATTATTTTAAGACTATGCAGACACAAGGGTACAAGTTCTTTTTACTTCTTAAGCTTAAAGAAAAATCTTAAAATAACTGATGCAAGGAAGTACAATCATCTCTAAATTATTTAGAGGCTACTTATCCAGTATATAGAATATCAAGGCGCTTCTCCTTCCTGTTGCCTTCCCTTGCGCTGTTTCATTGGCTTAGTTAGACATGTCTTCCAGATGGTGGAAATGCAAAAAGGAAGCAGGTGAAATCAAGCCAGTTCACCTGGGAAAGGTGTGTGTGCCCTGTGCTTATTATTAGCAAATCCTTTTAGATAGGATTTCTTATCTTTTTTGTTTTTGTTTATTCCTGGACCCCTGTGGCTATGTAGTGAAGCCTATGGACCCCTCAGAATAATGTTTTTAAATGATTAAAAATGTATAAGATTACAAAGGAAACTAGTTGAAATACAATTAACAATTTTTTTTAAATGCATGGGCCCCAAAGTTAAGAACTCTTGTTTAAATAAATGCTTGATTTAGAGTCTTATTGGGTGAGTTGAAGCTTAGTAATTTAAATGAAGTTTGATGACTATCACATTTCATTTATGGCCCCCCTTCCCCATTACTAGTAATATTCAAAATGAAACTAGCTACTTACCCATAAACCATTGAGAGCTTTACATAGTGGGGCTGTGATGCCTTAACACCTGACTGGCAGCAAGCAGTCCAGTTTTAGGAGCCTGTGGCAAAGTTACTAACTCATGATTTCTCACTCTGGCATTGATACTAGTGTGGAACTGGGATTCTAGGCCTGTCTTATTTTAGTGTATGTACTTCTAGAGAGCTTGACTTCTAGAGAGCTTGACTGCAGTAGACTATAGGTGTTCCCACCCTGAAAGACCACATAAAAAAGTGCTTTCATATAGGAAACCTTTGGTGCAGTTTTTAGGTACAGCAGTGGAAAGCACTTGCTCCACTTGCTATAATCAATTAATATAGAAATATTTCTATCAGACTATCCCAACTCCCCCCTTTTACCCACCTGTTGAGCTTCCCTGAATTCTGCTTTGTATATCTTCATGAACCTCCTCGCTTTTGATAGCTTCATTTATCTCCTGCATTTGCATCACCCTCTTCTGAGTCTTCTCAAAAGATTATAAAAAGTTTAGCCCTGTCCTAACTCCAGGAGGAACATCTTCAAAGCATTCAGACTCTATGCTTGAGCTCTTCTCTTATGGCTGTGAGAATAAAGCAATGCCTTGATCCAAGCAAGAACTCAAGAGTAGTGGGTTAATTTGTGGAATGAACTGTCAAAAGTTCCACCACTGGATCATAGAGATAGAGCTGGAAGGGTCCTTGTACGTCATCTAAGCCACTTTCATCTTTTTTAACAGATGATACCTGAGGCCCAGAGAGCTGAAGGGACTTGCCCAAGGGTCCCATAACCAGTAAATGTCCAAAGTGGGGTTTAAACCCAGGTCCCTCTGATGTGCAATTAATTATTCTTTCCACCACATTACCTCTTTGCATCACCACCCAAAGACCTCAGCTTCTACTACTGAGGAAAAAAGTCAGTAATTTTTATTGACGATATTATGGAAAATGCTCCTTTGTCAGATTCACAAAACCTTGCAAAGTTAAAAATGTGTTGTGCTAATGAACACTTTTTATCTTTACCATAATAATTGGGGAAAATGACATGGCCTTCATTTTGCTTCCCTTCCAAGTTATCATTTTAAATGCCACAAAAGAACAGCCTTTCTTTTAAAACTTGCTGTAATCTCTTTATAATAGGCAATTATCTTACAGTACATTTTCAGACAGAGTGGCAACCTGTTCCTACAGCTCAGCAAGTTCCTGAAAACCTGTTTCTAAGGAAGTGACAGGTAAATAAGAAAAAAAAAAAGTGGGGAAAATGGATTAAACTAGATAAGTCCATTTTTTTTTCTGGATTAATTGTGTTCCAGTTAATATCTAACAATCTTAAAAGGTAAAGCCTTTACATTATTAAGAACACAATATGATTAGCAAGGGACTCGTAGATGTTTACTATTGGTAGTAATACGACAGACATCACTTAAAAAGAGCCAAGCATGATTTTGTCATTCAAGCTATGGCCCTAAATTCCCTTTCTGGGCTTGAGAAACACTTCACTTTCCTCTGATGACTGACTCCATCTTGTACTCAGGATGATACTATTTGGCTTAAAAGAAGTTGTTGCTTTCTTGTTAGCAAGATAAATTAAGCTGTTCTCTGTGCTGAACACACTACTATATAGATACTCTGGGGAACATAACAAATATCAGACATGGTTGCTACCCTCCAGGAATTTATAGTCTCAGGGAGACCAAGTCTTTGCCCATGAAACAACCTACAGATACATTTATAGAGCGGTTTAAGTGGAAATGAATACAGGATGAACTTTGTACTATCTATGTGTTGACAGTGTACTGAGTAGAGGCTTGAACAGTCAGGCAGTCATTTGGAGAATGCTTTGAAAGTCAGGGCTGGGTGTAAACTGGTAGAGATGGAGGGGGGCATTTTATATGAACAGTAAGGTATATACAGAGGCAAGAAAATGTGTTTTTATAAGTTATGTGCATAGAGCAAGCAGATGAGCTCGATGAGTGGAAGGAAGTATTGTCGTTGATTACTGAAAAGTGAGGTTCAGGACATGATTTAGTTGGTATAAGGTCTAGGAAGCCCAATTAAAGAATCTGTAGCTCAGTCTTATGTGTAGGGAAATAGATGTCTGATGGAGGCAAAGATGTTAGGAAAGGGTTTTTGGTTATTCTGCAGAAGTTGGAGACCTTTGAGAGACCATTTAAACTGTTATGAAGTGGTGATGGGTGGTGCCCGGGGAAAGGATTTTGTCAGAACAGAATAGGTGGGGACATTTGGTAATAGACTCAGTAGAGAAAGTGGAGGAGGAAGAAGAGTTGAAGCTGACTTGTGAACCCCAGTGACCAGGATCTGGATAATTTTTGTAATGAGGGAAATTATTCAAGGGTGTCTGTTCATGGTGATGGGAAGGCTCAATGTGCAACATTTCAATGCTCCTATGTTGATGGGGATAGTGGACTTGTAGTGGCAGAAGAGTTGGAGTCAGGAAGACCTGGAGTTCCGGCTCTGCCTCAAAGGCTTGCTGGCTGGGCGACTCTGAGCAAGGTGTTTAATGGAACACCCCTAAGCAGTCCTCTGAGACAAGTTGTAGGGAAGTTTCTGATCATTGGGAGAGGAAGTTTCTCACTGGGAGCTTTCTACACTGATGAAATGGTATTGCTGACTTAAAAAAAAAAAAACCACATTGATGGGATATGCCAGAGAGAAGTCTTTTGATGATGAGATCTGGGGGTAGGGAAGCAAGAAAAGACCTCAGAGTAGTTTTAATAGAATGATGAAGATGCAAGAAAAGAGCACTGAATGGGCATGGTTCAAATCTCAGCCCTAGAATTTCTCAGTTCTGACAGTCTCTGAATGGAGGATGGATAAGCATTTGGTAAAAAATACAGAAAGGCTTCCTGTTCAGTGCCAGTTGTACTAAATGACCAAGTTGCTTCATTTCATTGGGCTGTAAAGCCCTTCTCATAAAAAGAAGGGTTAAATTAAATACCCTTTCAGATCTTAAGAGCCTGCGCTACATATGTTACATAGTAGTAAAGTGAAGGCAGCAGGGCTAACCTGCCTATTTATAAAATTTGTACAATTTTAGAGCTCAAAAAGGTTTTAAAGATCATCCAAGGTGACCACACATTTTATAAGTGAACCCTGTTAGGGGCAGATCTGGGAATAAATTGGTGGTCTCCTGACTCATATTGGTCCAGAGCTCTTTCCATTCCTATTATGTAGATTCAGATCAGGCTAAGCCTTTTACACAATTTAAAAGCAGAATTTTGCCTCAAAATTACTTCTAAAGAATAAAATTATCCCATCTAAGATTAAAAGATTCCTCCCCCACAAACAAGGTTGATGATGTTTTCCAATTGAAATAATTGTCATGGGGCTTTCAGAACACTTTGGCTAGACTTTATGTAGTGATACACAACTTTTCAGTGTGTCTAATGTGAAGATTAGTTTGTGTGTATATATATATGTATATATATATATACATATATATATATATTTTTTTCATTAGACTTTTGATTTCATTGGTGTCAAGAACTCCTCGAGCGAAAACTCCCTCTACCAATGTAGATCTGCAACTGTTCTTTCTTCGCTATAAAGTCTTAAAGAGTTACTCAGAGAGCACTGAGAAGTTAAGTGATTTGCCCAGGCTCACATAACTAGTATGTGTCAGAGGCAGGACTTGAAAGTAGGTTTTCCTGACTTGGAGGCCACCTATCCATCCACTGCAACATTTTTTTTTAGGACATTTTCATATGTCGAAGCTCTGAAAATTAGCTGAGGAAGAACAGAAGGACTAAATGAAACCTAATGTTTCTGTATTCCATGAAACATTCATCAATTTGAGGACTGTGTTCTTTTAAATAGGGTAGTGATTTCCCAAGGAAACAGGGATGGGGGAATGGGGGTAATTTTAAGGTGTGAATTAAATTTAATTTCAATCTTAAAGACCAATTATTTATACATATCTTAGTTTTTAATATAAATTGAATACCATGGAGATGCCCCTTAAAAATACCTAATGGTAGTTTTGGGCAATAGAAACCTTTGTGAAGTTTCCATATTATTTTGAAACAGCAAATGTCTGAGCTTAGTCTTTCTGTACAAGGATTTCAGTTGAAAGTGATTTTTTTTTTAATGTGAGTAATAACCAGTTAAAAATAGATGCATACGACCAAATTGCTGATGTGAGGACACCCTTAAATATAGCCAATGAAGTCTTTATGGAAGGAAAGGAAAGCCAGTAAATGGAGGTTGACAGGATAACAAAAGGAGTAAAAATGTGAATGTAAATAAGATTCAAAAGCTTTGTCATGGAACTTTGTTATCTATGCCCTTTGCCACCTGCTCTTTCTTACTCTATTTTTTTTTCTTATAAAAAATCAAGACTGTGTTTTTAACTTTGCTGAAAAGAATGCAGTAGAACAATCAGATTTCTTTTGATTGCATTGCTTATTTTTAATGGCCTTAAACATGGTTTGTGACTTTTTTATAGCCAATTAAAAAACTATTTAAATATTCCCAGAATCAAAGATTGTTATTCTATTTAACCCCTTACTAACTTTGTCTCATGTTGCTTAATATTAACAACAATATTTAGTGATTTTCAAAGTTAATTAATTGAGAACCCAGGAAAAATAATCCATATTTCCTATATGAGAGAAACATAAAAGTGAGGAGTAGAATGGCTGCCTTGGGAGGTAGGGGACTTCTGAAGATCTTCAAGTATAGACTGGGTGACCATTTGTTGGATGCTGTAGAAGGGATCCTTGCCTACCAAAATTATTAAAGGAATATAAATATATTTATATATAAAACTAAATGTATAAACGGAATAACTGGCCTCTTTCTACTCTGAGATACTGTGGTTCTGTTATACAATAAAGGAGCTTCAGCAGAAGTTGTTTTTAAAAAAACCCAACTAACTAAAATGCAGCCTGACAATCCTGAGTCTTTTTAGGCTTTAAAAGAAAAATAACAATCATTTTTAAACTAAGATAACTTTGAGTTATCAAACGAGATAATATTTGAAATGCTTGGCAGACTTTAGAGTGCTATGTAAGTGCTAGCTATTATTATCATTGTTATGTGTAGAAAGGAGGGATAAGTCTGGAGGTAATCAGAGAACCTCAATTTAATCCAAAATCCCCTTTTTGTTTTAGAGCCTGAATTGAAGCTCAGTTTCCAGGATAGCCTAGGTTATATGCATGAAGAGCACTAATGCAGAAGGATTTTTCCCAGTTCCTTAATATTCTATCAGAGCTTTAAACTTAGTGCATCAAAATAAAAATATATTTTACCTGGCCTAATAGTTGTCACTGCACAACTTCTTAGGTGATCCCTTAAGTTTCAGATTAAGATTAAATCCCTTGTCTTCTCAAAGCCTCAGTTTCCTTATTTATAAAGCGCTGGCTCTCTCAAGGACTGTTGTGAGCAAAGTGCTTTCTAATGCTTATGTGACTATAGAAATATAAATTAATTGTGATCACCATGTAAAACTCTTGATTTTAGATCATAAAATAAGATTCTGTATTTATACTGGAAAATTCTCACAATTGAAATCAAGAAACTGAGTCCCATACTAGAATCTTGATTAAAAACAAATACCTCAAAATCCTCCATCTTATATTCAGTTTATTGGAAAATTAATTAAACATTTTGTCCATCATATCAAATCTCATGTACCCAGTGGCTATGTTAAGCGAGGCTGTGTTTAAGGTAGTATACAATGGGAACCTTTTTGTAATTCTCATGTTGGGACACTGAATTAAGGCATGGGTTATAGGAAATTATTGTATTAGTCTTTTATATTATGTGGTTACCTTTTGGGGCATATGAAAAGTAATATTTTATATTTTATATAGTGCTTTAAGATTTGGAAGGTGCTATTATTTGAATTTTACAACAAAACTTTTGAGGTTTGTTGCTTGTATTATTATCCCCATTTTACAGATAAGGAAACTGAGGCTCAGGTAAATGACTTGCCTGTGATCACAAATGGGAAGTTAGAAGTCACTGACAGGATTTGAAGCCAGGTCTACTTCATGACTCCAGTCCAGCACCTGTCCACTATACATACAAATCAGTGTAAAAGCAAATTATGTTATAATAGGATATTACTACTTTAATGACAAAAGATGGCCCTGCATTTCAACACTGCTATTTGGAGAGGAAAAGACTGACTCAAGTCCTTTGGGTATTGCTCAGGAAATAAGCAGACAGAGAATTGTAACTTTATTGTCTGCCAGTAACATGGAGTGACTAACATTTGCTATTTCCTTGGGCATACTCCTTTAGAAAAGAAGACAAATGTATTAGTTTATACCCTTGAAGACTGCAAAAGAAGATACATCGGGAGGCAGTCTTAACTCCCACCAGCCTTTGCACCACCATCTGGGTAGAAGACGAGGGGCCAGTGCAGGCAAACAAACCATAAACCAATCCTGGTTCTTCTCTTTTTCCTTCTTAAGATCATTAAAATTTGATAGACCACCATATAAAATAAAAATTATCTGTGGACAGACTATCAGGGTTGCTAACTTTACCATTAAAAAAAAAAGTCTGCCCATAATGCCAAAACTGTGTGTCTACTGTTTATTGCTGTCAGCCAAAGGGCTGTGATTCTCTTTTTCTTTTCCAGTGCTGTATACAGACTGTTTTTGACCATGGCAGCGATGAAGCGTAAACGAGTTGTGCTTACAATCCAGGAAAAGCTGGAAATCATTGAAAAACTGGAAAAAGGTGGTAACACAAGGCAGCTTTCTATCATGTATGGAATTGGTGAACAGACCGTTCGTGACTTAAAAAAGAGAAAGGCACAGCTACTTTCCTATGCAAGTAGCTCAGGCTCTGCAACACTTCTGGCTAGACGCAAGTCTATGAAGCAGTCTACCTACAAGGAGCTAGATAGAGCAATGTTGGAATGGTTTAATCAGCAGAGAGCTGAAGGAACTCCAGTGTCTGGGATAATTTGTGCAAAACAAGCAAAGGCTTTTTTTAATGCGTTAGGAATGGAAGGGGACTTTAATGCCTCTACTGGTTGGCTTACCAGGTTTAAGCAGAGGCATGGGATTAGAGAGCTAAATTACCAAGGTGAGAAATCAAGCGGTGATCAGTCAGCTGCTGCTGATTTTCGGGAAGATTTTGAGGAATTTACGGAAAGTGAAAGGTTGCAGCCAGAGCAGATCTACAATGCTGATGAAACTGGGCTTTACTGGAAATCCTTACCGGCAAGGACATTGGCTTTTGAGAATGAACATCCTATTCCAAGCCATAAACTCAGTAGAGAGAGACTAACTGTGTTGTGTTGCGTAAATGCAACTGGTTCTCACAAGTTGAAACTGTGTGTTGTTGGGAAAGCAGAACATCTGCATTTGCTTCGAGAAGCCAATCCATTAAATATGCCCATTGATTGTTTTAACCACAAAGAAGCGTGGATGGACTGCACCATTTTCAAAGAATGGTTTGATAAGAAATTTGTTCCCCAGGTCCGGGAGCACTTACTCTCTAAAGGCCTTCCAGAAAGAGCCGTCCTACTTTTAGATTATGCACCCTCCAAACCCAGTGAAGGTCTTCTCAAGTCTGAGGATGGCAACATCTTTGTGAAATATTTGCCGCCAAACGTGGCCGCTCTAATTCAGCCTATGGACCAGGGGGTGATAGCATGCATGAAGCGACACTACCGAACGGGATTATTAAGAAAGCACGTGCAAGAGGGGCATGACATGAAATCCTTTGGGACCACCCTGACCGCTCAGGACGCTATCACTCAAGCGGTCAGAGCGTGGAACTTAGTGAAGCCGGTCACAATCGTACGATCGTGGCGCAAAATCATTTCTGACCCAGATGAAGAAGGGATTCCATCAGCCGGCTTCCTGGTGCACGGGCAGCAGCAGCAGCCCAGAGGTCACAAAAAGAGCCGTGCTGCGCGCGCGGAAGAGAGGCGAGGGATCCGCTACCACGAAGCAGGCAACCAGTCACCGGCTGACAACGAGACGATGACAAGCGCTGAAGAAATCAAAGTGGAACCGAGCGACAGTGAAGGAGATGAGCGAGAACTGATCCCAGAGGGTCACATTAGCCACGGTGCTGCGTTAAGCTATGTGGAGATCCTGCTTGATTATCTGGAGCAGCAAGAGGACTCACTCGTGACCGACAAACTAGTCCTCCACCGACTACGCACAACGATAAGGAAGAAAGAAGACGAGTCGATGGGACGAGTAACAGTCACTGATTTTTTGACCAATAAATAAGGCCGGGCCTTGATTTTCTCATCTGTAAAATGAGGGGTTTGGACTAAATGGTCTCAAGGGTCCCTTCCTGCTCAGTTTTGTGACCTTTAGGATCTGCCGCCGTCCTCTTGGAGCTGAGACTGATTTATGACCTTGTTCTGTGCTTGTTTATGGAAGGTAAATATACTAACTATGTATGTGTTTGTAGCTCAAAATACTTATATTTTGTGCAAGGTGGCCTATTTTTAAATGGGTCTCCTTTCATTATTTATGTTTTTGCTTTATCTCAGCACTCTCTGCCATCCCTTTTGCCTGTGCCCTACATTTCTCAGGATAATTAAGAATTTGTTTTCTTACATTAAAGTTCTATGACATGTAAATTCCAGTTCACGCTAAGTCCTGGAAATGGTGGGTGGCAAAGATGAGCCATCAATCATTCCGTGAAGACAGGGGCTCAGAGGCATCTCTTAAATCCCTTGGTTTGCTTCCACCACCTTATAATAAAGATGACAGTTATTCATGTTGGTTGTAAGTTGTTCCTTATGCTAGAGTTGTTCTTTGCTAGTGTGCAGAACTCATTGTACTTCATAATAAATATCCCAGCATGGCTAAAGAGGTAGCATGTAACATTAATGCATACAGTAAATGACTAGTGATAACCATACTCATCCAGGTCTGATAATTTGTGCTCGGGGAGTGGTAAAGAAAATTTGGTTTTATTTTATTGTCAGGGTACCACAAGGTAGGAGAGTGAAACAGATTGTACCACACCTGACCCATGGGTGGGCACTGTTATCACTGTCACTGAGGTCCATTTTATAAAGTGTCTTGTGGAAGCAATGGAGGTAACAGGGACTCTAGCTGGGAAGCCCTGGTCCCCATTTTGAGGACTTTGTAACATAAAGGAATCTTTATTTTGGTTATTTCCTTCTGTTGCCCACTACAAAGAGTAGTAGGTGGGTTTTGTCTTTGTATTAGGACTTTATGAATGGATATGTTTTTATTTTTTTCTTAGGTGTGTCAGAAGGGACTAGTAGGGAGGTTCATTCGCTATGATGGGAACAAGGGAACAAATAATCATGCTGATAACTCACCAGAATCCCAGTGCTCTGAAGTATGGGTGGCTGAATATGTTGGCATCTAGCTACTCTTAAAAACAACCCTTTATGAGCCACAAATCAACAACATGGGGCATGGAGGGGATGGAGGAGGAACAGTTAAGGAGGTGAAAAAGCTGTCCCTTGACTTTCTTCTTCCCATTATTCAAATCACAAACTCATTGGTGGAGGCAAAGGTTAGGGGTGTTTGAAGAACTAAAAACAGCTCAGAAAGGTGTGGCTTCTGGGGGTTGCTGGTTTCATGTGAGTATCCTATAAGCACTTCAGTTAAAGTGCTTAAACTCTTAATAAGCACTTAAGTCTTTAGTCATTGCTTTTTTGATGTTTGGTACATTAGAAATTGACTCTAAGCTATTAGTGTCTTAGTGGCAAAGTCTTGTATCACTTTTCCAGTTTATTGTGTTAGACTGAGCATTCTTATTCTATAATTTGAGTGGTATGAAGTGATAATTAAATGCTGTATGACTACTCAATCCTGGGAACTTTGTGAAAATTAGACTTACTTCGTGACTCTATCCCAGTGAATAAATTTGTAAATAAAAAAGTAATTGAGGACCTTTTCAGATGCATATGATGTGTGTTTTTTAAAATTAAATGCAAAGAAAATGAGGCAAATGGAATAGATCAATCAATAAACATTTATTAAGGGCCTACTATGTGCTAAGTGCTGGATTAGAGATATTTGATGAGACACAGCCTGTATTTATGCATTATAATATATCAGCCCAGATGGAGTCAGAAACGTGGTAGGAAACTTGATCTCTGTGTTAATTCACAGAACAATCATTGGCTGACGTGCATAAATCATATTAGTTTTTTACTCTGTGTGGCTCCTGAGATAACCTTTACTGCATTATATACTTTAACTTTCATGTCTACAAATAAATATGCCTGAGGATGAGCAGCTGTCACTTGTTACCCAACTATAAACATGCAGTGCTGTTTGGATTGTATACTAAGCTGCAAATATTGAAGAAACAAGCAAACAAAAGAAAAAGCCATTGCAACACACCTCCTTGTCTGAAACTGGGCTACCATTACAAGAAATATTGAAATGACCCTGTGTTAATAGGAGTTCATTGCCTTCTTGGAGAGATATCAAAGGAGGCTTGTTCTAAACAATTCAACAATTCAATAGCTAACCTTTGCCCATAAAGGCAACACTATTAACACTAGTGTTATGATGTGTCCCAGTTGTACAAGCATATATTGGTACTTCACCAGTAAAAATTAATGCTTTTCTAAGTACACTGAGTGAGGAAGAATCCTGGATCTGAGCTGAAGGAATTCCCATCTAAATGCAAATCAAGGAAACCCCATCTTGAATGCATGAGCAGTTCATATGTGGTCATTTCTCCACTGTTTAATGTTCAGCACTAAAAATACATTTTCATATAACTGTGGTGTTAGTGGAACACCCTTAATCAGAATTTACCAATGTAATTTTTTCTGAAGACATTATATTGGATGGAAAACCACTGAAGGCTTAAACATTATTGGCCCTTTAGGAACTTCATTTTTCTTGACCTAAAAAATTGAAAAAAATGAAATGGACAAAAGGGAGATGACTTGGAATGGAATACATTATGAAATTATATCTATCACACAGGGCTCAGAAACCTTTTATTTGTTGAGAGCCACCGATCCATGAACAAGGGGCTAACCTCCCTATAGTTCCATAAGTAAAAAGCAACTTAGATTGTTTTTTGAAATTGAATACATAAAACCATCCTGCCTAATTTACTTTAAAAATTTAAGAACAGGGAGCACAGCTCTGTTTAGTGCTGTTGTTCAGTTGTATCCAACTTCACGACCCCATTTGGGATTTTCTTGGCAAAGATACTGGAGTGGTTTGCCATTTCCTTCTCCAGCTCATTTTACAGATGAGGAAACTAAGGCAAATAGGGTTAAGTGACTTCCTCAGGGTCACACAGCTAGTAAATGTCTGAGGCCAGATTTGAAATTAGGTTTTCCTGACTCCAGGCACAGTACTCTATTCAATAAATAGTGATAAATAAATTGGAGACTGGGGCAAGAAGGTGTGGCATCAGAAGCAGATTGAATGCTGGTTTCTTAAGTTCACAAATAGGAAAGCCACAAACAGAAATATATAAATCATTATTATTTTCTCTCTTTGGAGAAAAGAAAAGAAAATATAGAAATAGCTTTAATATTAGCAACAAATGTTCTTGCTCTGAGAAGCAAAGATGTAACTAACCTTGCTCTTTGGGGGAAAATAGCTCCTCTTACATTTAAGTTTTTAAAAGGGATAAAACTGCCAGAATTTAAAAGTCATATAACAGTTTTTAATTCCTATCTAAAATTTGCATATATAAGGAGGGGAAGTACCTTCATGAAGTACTCTCTGCATCTTGTGGCCTTCGAAAGTACCACTAGTATTGATAGTTGAGCTGTATTTTTCCAACTGCAAGGATAAATGGGAGTTACTGGTTCTTGCTTCAGGGCCAGATTCAGCTCATGCCTATTCATACCTGTCCTAGTCTTTATAGCTTCTATAACATTTCCTGGTTGGTCTAAATTCTTCAACCTTAAAATTTTTCTTCAAAATTTAGAGGTAGGAACTTCACTGTGGCAAGAGTTAAGAAATAGTGTTCTCTTTAGAACAGGTTGAACACTTGATAGTTTTGGTGTAATTTTCCTAAAGATCACATGTTGAGCCTCTCTTCATCTCTGTCCCCTTAAATATGTTTTAAATATGTATGGGTAAATAGGAAATACTTAAAGGCAAGTTTATGAATGAAATTCATAGTTATAATTCTATCCCATCTGATGTTATGCTGCATCTTATACATGTCAGGATTTTGACTCCTAGATTATTGATTATTTATTCAAGTCACTGAAAGGTTTATTTATCAATAATTCTCCCCCTGCTGCTCATAAAACTTTTCATCTTTGCATGGTCTCCTTAGAAGGGCTAATGAAATTTACAAATTATTTTGACCAGTGTATCTTTAATGACTGATTAATATTAATTGTATTAATTTGTTGATAATTAATATATTGTGAATATTACTTTTATGTCAGAATCTGTTGCATAATTAGCAAAAGAGCTCTAGTTCCTTGTTAAACTAGTCTCTAACTTAATTTTCTTTGTGAAGAATATGTTTGCAGGGAAATGATGATTCATTACAATCTACAGAGTGGGTAGGATATAGTTGTTTGTATATATGTGTCCAGGCAAAGCCACCCTGAAAATCATGAGTCCTTGGGAACATTTTAAATTGTCTGGCCCTTGCCCCTGAACTATTCATAACACTTATTTTTTCATAATTTGAGTTGCCCAGACTAGCTAAAAAGAACTAACTCCACTCACAACAGAAATGCAAAAGACTTTGGGGAAACTGGATACAAATGAAGAGAATCAAGTTACTTGAGATTATTGATTTGTCATGACTCTCTTGGCTTCAGTTTACTCAACTGTAAAGTGAAGAGCTGGGATCAAGTGATTTCTGAAGTCTCTTTAGCTCTTACGTTCTTAGAATTCTTCCTCCCTCTGCTAGATGTGATATGTGTTAGCCTGGCAGAGCAAATTTTATGATAGCCACAGTAGCTGTGTCAATGGAATAAAAAAAAAATCAAGCCCACGCAAACATTTACTAGTTTATCCGAGATATATCAGGGTAATTGCAATGTTTCATCTGGCTGAAGGAAACATTAGTAGCATAAACAAGCAATATTTATGTTCCTTCTCTCAAATATCCCTTGGCTACAGAGAAAACTGAAGAAATCAAGAAAATTTTACTAGACTGAGCCTCATGAGGGCAGAAACTATGCCTTGTGTATTTCCCCACAGCACAAGTAATACTTAATTGATTTGCTGAAGTGAATTCAATCATCTTGGAAATGCTTTTGGAGGGCTATAAAAGGTAACATCAAAGACTCTTAGAAACTACATCTATGTGGATAAGCATATACACAGTACTCAACAAGTTGTTGTTCAGTTGTGTCCTACTCTTTGTGATCCCATTTGGGGTTTTCTTGGCAAAGATATTGGAGTGGTTTGCCATTTCCTTCTCCAGCTCATTTTACACATGAGGAAACTAAGGCAAACAGGGTTAAGAGACCTGCCCAGGGTCACAGCTACTAAGTGTGTGAGTCCAGATTTGAACTCAGGAAGATGAGTCTGCCTGACCCCAGGCTTGGCACTATCCACTGTACCACCTAGTTCCTGTACCCCACAAGTTATTAAGTGCTTAATAAATATTTGCTGACTGACTGCTTTCAGAGGCTCTGAGGAAACTTTTAATTATTGATTCATTTGTGTAATTTCTGTTTTTCCAGAGCTTTTGCTAGATGGGACATTAAGGTCATTCAGAACCAGTTGGAAGTTGTCAGTAAACTTTGAAAAAGGGTTGACAGAAATTATTGATTAAGGCACCTC